AAATACTTTGTCAGATGTGTTAGCTAAGCAAGGGGTAAATAGGGAAGAATTATTTTGGGCTCAGTTGTGATTATTGTTTTTCTTTCCTAGTTTACTTGTAAGACTCAAGGAGGGGCTGCAGCTCGTGCCTTTCGTTGGGATGATGTATGAATTCACTCTAAAGTTGCTTCTGAATCAATAAACTTATTATTATTCATAAAAAAAATATGTTGGGGGAATGTGGGTTCTATGAGTAGCTTAAACTAGATATCCATTTAAAACATGTAAGGGATACATCGGGTTGTATGGCATCTTAGCCTTTTTATTTGCATTTTTATCAGTAAACTATTTTCAGTATAATGAAAAATAAGAGAAAATATACACCAGAACATATTCTCAAGGGTATTCTTATGACTGTAAATAGTTTATAATAATGTATACAAGGTTCTTTGAGGTGGGAGTTCATTTGCGCAGCTCTGTAGCTTTTGTATGTTGTGTGATTTTTTCTTTTCAGGACAACCTAGACATGCTACCTTCTCTATGTTTAAATACTTTATTATGAGCTATGTACAGTTAAAAGATACCCTTTAAGAGGGTCAAAGGAAGAACACTCTGCTAGGAGCTCAAGCTTCATGTCATCGAGGTTGCTTTGGGAATTCTGGTGCACCATGTCTCACAGGTGCAAAATGGGTCCCTCCCCCTCTCTGTTGCTCACCTTTCTGGTTCCTTTGGTGAGAAACCTTCAGGGTCCTTTGTGGGTGTCCTTGGGACTCCTTGCCAAAGGGAAGAGGTGCAAACCACATTTCCATTGCCATTCCTCCTCAGTGCCAAGCATCAAGAATTCCACTGGTTGGGTTTTGTCATAATTCTAAACTTTCCCATTTGAAAGGGAGTTGGGTTCTAAAATGGTTCACATGTTTGATTGCATGACCTGAATACGCTGTTCACACTAGATTCAGGCCCCTATTTGCAGAAAACAGAAATGAGAGAGAGAGAGAAATCCCAAGGCCCAAGGAATCACTCTAGGGTTTGTAGGAATCACTCCATACAGCAAGAGAGCTCTTAAGAAATCTTCATTCATTCATTTAGCTTCAAAAGGAAGAGAACACATCTATTTATAGAGTGACTTGTGTGGCCCGGATTACTGTTCACCATAATTACAAAAATGCCACTCCTTGTCTTGTGCATCAAGAAACACAATATCTTTCTATCTACTAATGCAAATAAACTGAAAATTGAAAGACAAGCCCTACTAAACTAGAGGAACAAGATGTTATAGCTCAAGCCCACACAGGACTAGTTAAAATGACGAAAATACCCCTGACCAGCTCAGTCCAAGTCCCAAGAGTCTTCCCCATGCCAAATTAGAGCCTGTTTGTTGGCCTTCTTGCGATAATAGGTCTTATAATGCTTGGACCAATCCCCATCATCTCTCCCCAGCTCGAAAGAACTCGACCCTGGTGAGTTAAAGGCATGATATTGCTCATGAAGTTCTGGATTAAGATTATACAAGTCTTCAGCTGTAATCCATGAACATTCTGAAAGGGGTAGATTCTTCCACTTTACAAAAAACTTTTGGTAACCCCCACTTGCTGTAGAAATCAACTTCTCATCAAGGATGTCTTCAGGCACATCAGTAAATG